AGAGAGAGAGAGAGAGAGAGAGAGAGAGAGAGAGAACTTTTCCAATGCGAAAACGTTTCGCACCTTTTACTGTGCGAAATCACCCAGAGCCGTTCGATGTGGTTGAACGGCTGAAAGAAACCCATTCAAAAAGTGACCCCATCAACATCTCGTGACCTCTGTTCAGATTCCCAGACCCTGCTCATTCCGACCCCAGAGCCCTCTCTCTCCCCAGACGAATCCTCCGACCCCCAAAGCCTCCTCCGACCCCCAGAGCCCTCTCCTCCCTTCTCGCCGTCGAGCCCAGAACCCACGCCCTCTCCTCTCTCTCCCCAGACGAATCCTCCGACCCCCAGAGCCTCCTCCGACCCCCAGAGCCCTCTCCTCCCTTCTCGCCGTCAAGCCCAGAACCCACGCCCTCTCTCCGTCGAGCTCCGCAGAACCCACACCCTCTCGCCGTCGAGCAGCGCTGACGCCCTCTCGCCGTCGAGCTCCGCAGAACCCAAACCCTCTTCCTTGAATCAGGTTCGTTTTCATCTTCTTGCTTGATTTAGGGCTTTTGCCACCGTTGGTGTTCTTCTTGTTAGAATATGCGTATAAGCTCAGGGTCACCGTTGGTGTTCTTCTTGATTTAGGCTTTTTAGTTTTGATTTTGATTTATAGACAGATTTCATTTTGTTGAAGACAGAATTCATATGATCCCATTTATTTGAACCAAACATAAATTGTATCCAGACGGAATTGTTTGTGGAGGTTGGATCTGTAACATAAATTCAGCTCCTTCTTCTATTTTTGGTTAACTATTTTTCGTTTGCAGTGTTTGCTTGCAGACGGAATTGTTTGTGGAGGTTGGATCTGATGATCATTTTTAAGTTATCAGGGTTCTTCTACATCCAGCACATTTAACACCAATCCATTGTCACCGCGTTCAGCTTCTCGTGATTCAGTTGAAAGTAATTCTTCAGTACCTGATCCTGCTGATTGGGATCCTGATTACAGGTACTGTTTAAGTTCAATCTGATAATTGCCATTAATTTGATCTTAGACTTGCAATTCTGCTCAACAGTAGTTATTATTGCATCTATATGGAAGTAATGGGTAAATCCTTTTTCTTTTTCCTTTTTCAAGTATGAAATGTATGCATTATTAACATATGTAAGGGTTCTGTCCAACACGTTATGCAATTCTGCTCAACACGTTATGCCACTCATTACGCCTTTAGAATTGCAAATAAACCTTCTAATGCTGAATGATCATCAGAGATTTGTGAAGGACAGAGACGTGGAGGGCACTGGCGGCGTACACTTAACATACCTGCTGATATCAAACTTAAATGTAGACCTGGCTATAACTTCATATGGATGCACATATTCTAATTTGCTCTTTAATATGATTGTCTGGTTAAACTTTTGGTTAAACTTTTGTATCTGTAGCCGTGGATCATGGAGTCATCTTCAAGCAATCGTCGTGCACTGTTGTGCCATTGTGGAAGGATGGCTGTACTCTCCAGATCTGGAACTAAGAGGAACCCCGGTCGATTGTTTTTGGGATGCGCGAATTGGAGAGAGAGTAATTGTGGATTCTTCAAATGGGTGTCTGATGAAGAGGAGTTTGAAGGTTCAAAGGCAGAGCTTGTTCAGACGAATCAGTCGAGCGTGACGCCACAAGTTTCAAGAACCGTGTCAAGTGGGGAAGTGTGGGAAAGGAGAAAGCTTTCCCTTGATATTATGGATTTGTTGAAGCTTGTTGTATTTGCTTTTTTATTTGGTATTTTTTTCGGATTTGTATTTTGTATTTTTATTGGATTTCTACTAAGTAGGGTGTAAGAATGTATTATTGGAGCATATATAAGTGATGAGAGCAATTTCAATTGCTCAAGGTTTAACAAAGTTATCAGTCAACAGAAGGGTCCAAACTTTCTACTTTTATTCTTTCTGGCTTACTTGATGCACATGCTAAATCTTAATTCTTTAGCTGCAGATATTTACAAAAGCAAAAGGACACAAACTATCAGATAAGATTTCCTGGATACAGATCCACATAATAATTAGAAGAATGTTCACGGTTGATACACGGTGCAAATTAACTATCCAGCAGCTATTAACTATCCAGCAGCATAACTATAACATGCATAACTATAACTTTTGAAATGAGATAGTTCATGATAGCAGATATAGTTCAAACAAATTAACTATCCAGCAGATATAGTTCAAACATAATGTTCACGGTTGATACACGGTGCACATAAGATTGCGAGTGACTAAATGTGCATGCATGTGAGAGGAATAATACAACAAGTGCAGAGTGCAAAGAAGAAAATGGCCCTACACGGTTAATACTGAATAAATAGTAGTGCTTGATATGCAGATGTGCAGATGTTTGTGACTTACACCACCATCCATAACATAGTCAACAAACAGAAGCAGATATGCAGATGTTTGTCAAAAGATTTACAAACGTTCTACTTATAATACTGAATAAATAGTAGTGCTTGATCACCTACACGGTTAACCTACTGGCCTAAGAACAATAATATACAAAAGTATACTATACCATTGACAAACATAGTAACATATGACAATTTTTCCCATAGTATACTATACCATAACTATCCAACCTTTCATCACAAAGTCAGCAACAGAACCACCAAAAGATGAAAATAAGCAACAATAAAATGGAACATCATTCACTATCCAACCTTGATCAATACAGAGAAAATAAGCAATAGTGTCTCAATCTTTCATCACAAAGTCCGCAACAGAACCACCAAAAGATGAAAATAAGCAATAGTGTCTCAATCACTTGGGGTACCACACAAATAGATAACCAAAGATACAAAACTAAACCCATTGGTGCTCTGCCTTCATCAACCCCTTCTCACCAATAGTGATGTGATTTGCTTTGCCAACCCTTGATTAAACTTCACGCAATAGTGAGAACTTCATCTGTATTACAAAAATTAAAAAAATTAAAAAACAAATTGCTTCATCACATTAAAAAATCACATTATATAATACAAATGGCAATGTACAAGTTATTCCGTATGTATTAACCATTACCTTCCTCAAATGAATCTTCTAAATCATCCGTGGCTTCATCAATGTTATCTTGTTCCATTGAATCACTATAAAAAAAATTGATTATAGCAAAACATATTAAAGATCATCGCACCAACTTAAAAAAAGTTTAAAGAAATAATAACTTTAGTATTACTAAAACAAATGATATACTACCTTGACAACTTTAGAGGGCAATTTCTGCTATCATGATTTTGTCCTCGCTTTCCACACAATTTGCATTTCCTAGGCCGGCATCTACGGATCTCTCTCGATGGCTTTAACCTCTTCACTTTAGGCCTTCCTTTTGTTCTTGCTTGACTTGGTTCATGAACTATATCTTGAGAACACTCCTCATCAACATCTTGTCCAATTTCTTCATCATTGATGAGTTTCAAACGTTGCACCTTATTAATAGCATCCATCATAATTTCACGCATTAATTCATATGCATCATTAGAAGATAGCCCCTCTTCGACCATTTCATTAGCTAAGCAA